ACATAAAAATAATATGTGAGAAATTAAATATTAACAAAAATGTTTAATTTTATCACTAATGATCTCAGCTTCAGTGACATATTTAAAGAAAGCTGTCAGCCAAAAAAAATAAGAATGCCTATGTAAGTGCATTTTTCAACACTTCAGCTGAAGCCTACATGTTGACACCAAGTACCTCAGAAGCACTAACAATGAGGACTTGCACAATCGACCTGTTTGTTTTCCAAGTGGTGCGTTTTGGGGGGATAGGAGATATGGAAAGTCAATAGCAGTAAAGGAAGTAATTTACCTCCAAGGAGAAGGGGATGTAAGCTGGAAAAGGCCAGTGATTCCACTATCTGTCTTGGAGAACTGTAATCCAAAATTATCTATGTGTAGTATTATATGTAGAAAAAGAAATTCACACTAGCAAAATTGAGAATACTCAATCTGTACTATCTTTTGTCACAATTCTGTATCAATTTAGCTACAAGTAGCAGACATGGAGCACAGTTTTATACCTTCAAAATGAATTCTTCCATATGATTAGCTCATTAGGAAAACCCTAAAAATTCAAACTGTCTGCAGTCAGAATTGTTATTATATCTTAAAATTAAACTTTTTCATTCAATCTTGAGAGTTTTCTCTCTAAGCATTTATCTCATATACCATTAAACTGGCAGCTGAACAACAGTAATTCCTATGGTGAATCTTCTTAACATTATGACAAAAGTCTAATATTGAAATTACTGTAGGAATGATCCTTAAAAAGTAGATGTAGAATAGCATTTCTAAGAATTGACATACTCTTTAATATCCCAGATAAGTTTCTAAATAAGTAACGTTTTCTCTTGGTATGCAGACTCATTTTCAAATTAGAAATAGACTTCTGGCCCCATATCTTTTAAAAAGACATTCATAATTTTAAATTTATAAATGACATATGAAATGGTTATGTAATTTTAAATATTTTATCTGTGATATGTAGGCTTAAAAGTCAGCCTAATTAATATATAAAACTTATTCCAATTTCTTTGTAAAATGATCTCTAGTCTTTAAATTCAAATTGTTCATCTGAGTGAAAATGGTTTTTAAAAAAAGGGATGGAGGTAAAGGCTATTGTTTCCTTAGGCTACTTCTATCTTAAATATTGGATCCATGTTTTTCTTACTATCCCTTAAATCAAAACTATTTTACAGTAGTCAAGATTGAATTCAAGAGTTATCAGGGAAAGGAAAAAAATAGAAAACAAGATAAAGACTTTGATTTTTTTTTATTATTATACTTAACTATAAGACAATTAAACTAAATTTAAAAAAAAATAAAACCTATACATCCAAATGATACTGTGTACTTCAAAGTAGTGACATCAGGAAACAATTCCTTTATTATATGATGCTACCTATGCTCAAAACACACTCTTCTGCAAATTTCAGAACCTATGGTACATTCTATTGAACTTCCTTCACGGTTTAGTTCCAAGAAAACAGCAAAGCAGATTTGGTTTGGTGAATGAGATAGTCATAATTAAGTTGCCAAAAAGAGGTTTTGGTGCAACTAAAATGATGAAATAGATTATCTTGCATAGTCATACACTGATTCTCAAGGCTTCTTTGAAAGCATTCCAAAAACTTTACACCTTTGCAGCATAGCTGGAATAAGTAGTGCTCCCAAAGGAACCACCCTAAAGATCTACTCTCATTTGGATGTTTAAGGAGTAACGTTTATTTTAAAAGAAAGTCCTACAACTTAGCAATTGCATCTCACATATTTTACCATTTCAGTGGTTATCAAAACCTCTCTCAGAGAGGGGTAGACAAAGGTATAAAATAAATCTGTCATTTTGCTATTTTCCCATAAGCAAGGAAAATGCTAATACATAAAATGGAGTCTGGTGATTACATGTAAAATATAAATATCCACATCATCTGTATTTTCTAAATAAAAGCGATTGTAGTGCTTTATCTCTGCTGATAAAATAGGCAGTAACTCAGTCTGTGATATGTTATCCACTAAACATGTCATCTCCTACCAAATACATTTTATGCTGATCATTTAGAATTTACAGATAACGAAGGTAAAAAGCAATAGCAATCTAAAATCTCTCAAGTTAAGGTAAACTGACTTCCAAAGCTTCTACCAGCTAACTAACAAAATGTTTACTGTTTCAGTGCAGTTTAATACAATGGGTTTTTATGGGAAACAGAATAATCAAGTCAGCAAATGAAAGCCAGTAGCACCATCTACTGCTAACTAAAGGATTTTCACACTTGCTGTTATTCTCTCCACCACCATCACTCCATCATTTAAAGTAATTCCTAAAACTTGCTGCATATCAATATTTAACCAAAGCATTGTGAAAACAATACTATGTTAACTTACTATTTTATATTTTACGCTTTTATCAGCAGATGGGAAAACCAACTTCTGTTTTACACTTCCATATAAAGAAAAGGGGGGAAATCTTTATCTTGGTTATTTATAAATTTAACAAAGAGATCTGGAAAGAATTCAATAGACATTTATAAACAAGTTCTGCTGCAAAGCCAAGATGTAATCCTTATTTTATAAAGGGTTCATGGGAACTAACCGAATCAAAGCAATTTTTTATTAAATTAGTTATTTCTCACATGCTCTGGTGAATGTTTTCCTACTCATAGCCATGTAACACCATGTACAATGCCAGGCCTCTGGGAGAACCTCACTACTTTGTTACCATATACACACATACATAACTCCATACTTTCCAATAATTCTGTTTACAGGAATACTCAGAGGCAGGCACCTGAGATTCTGGCACAGTGACAACAAACTCTTATATACATACAATGGGAAAGCAGGTCCTACTACTAAACATTCATTGATGGAAACATTTTTCCATTTTTACAGTATATTACTGCATAAGGCTTACAAGAACAAGAACAATTTTTTACTATACTCTCTACATTTGGCTATTGCAACCTCTTTGTTACTAGGTTGATATGAAGACAAATGCAGTATGGAAGACTACTTGAGTAATTATGTGCTTCATTTTCCCAAATAGATAGAACCCCAAATCAGTTGATGCCGAATTTTACTTCTGAATCTACCCATAATGGCTGCTAAAAGATCTGGATATTAAAAGAGTTGTTTTAAGGACATCAGCTAGTTCTCACTGTAATTTTTTTTTTTTTTTTAAAATATATTTTATTGATTTTTTACAGAGAGGAAGGGAGAGAGATAGAGAGCTAGAAACATCCATGAGAGAGAAACATCGACCAGCTGCCTCCTGCACATCCCCCACTGGGGATGTGCCCGCAACCCAGGCACATGCCCTTGATCGGAATCGAACCCGGGACCCTTCAGTCCGCAGGCCGACGCTCTATCCACTGAGCCAAACCGGTTTCGGCCTCACTGTAATTTTTAACTAAGTATTACCAATGAATGTCCAATATATCTCTGCCAGGCTCTCCTGTTATTTCTATGGTTGGTACTTGAGAATGATGGCTATAAATGAAATGGAGAAAAAGGCAGTTCCTAGTGATCGTAATTATAATGTAATTAAACTGTATCACGGCTCTACTTGTTAAGAGCAAAACCTAACTGATTTCATTTTAGATTCTTAGTATTTTTAGTCTATACAATTTCAGAGCAAGATTTCTATTCTACAAGGAAAAGGGTATATATTTCTAACTAAAAAAAAAAAAAAGAGTATATATTTCAAACTGAAGGGATAGATTTACCGGAAATGAGAAAATTAAAACAAAGTCTAAAAAGAATATATCTCAAGAATAAAAGTAAAGTGGAAATGTTAATATTTATTTTAAAAATCAATTTTCAAAACTTATGGGAATAATTCACTAAAAAGTCAAGGAAACTAAAATGTAAAAGTTAATAATCTCTGAATTAGCACTTTCATTGTTTAATATCACTGCAAAGAAAAATATTTCCTTTCACAGTGGAAAATCAGCTGTCAGAATGCTTCAAATAGAGCCTATAATAAGCAAAGAATGTACTGTATCATTTAAAATGACAGGCAAACACCAGCTCCATTCACTGAATGGAAGTGCTGGAAAGTGGTCAATGTTCCCAAATAGTCCTTTATTCCTTATTTAATATCTATACCTAAAATTAATAACTTATTTTTAACTTCTCTATGGAAGTTGATTCCTAAAAAGAAGTCTCTAAGACTATGCTTACACGAAATTGATTAAAATCTTCATGCCATTCTATTCAAGGGTTTTAAGACAGGACTTTCTTGAACTTGACTCTCCACAGTTAATTCCATCTTTAACTCCTACACAAGCTAATCCCCTATAACAGAACACACACTCCTATCAAAGCTTCTTCAAAGTAGGAGGAGATTCTGCAGACTTATGGCTCATTTGGCAATTGCTAAGAAACCTCACAGTTCAGCATCACCTCTGAAGATGGCAAACCTGTACATAAACCTGAATATTCACACCTACAGTGCAGTTAACATGTAGAAAGAAGCCAAAATGCAACAGATATTGCATTTCAACATCCTCAAGTTTCAATATCACAGTAAAGAGATGGAAAAAGACCTGCTTGTGGAACTTTAAGCATCTGTTGAACAGAATTACCATCAATATGAAAAATAATTAAGAAATACTAATTTTTTATGCTCTACATGCACACCTTTACAAATTGTGTTTCTTCGATGTAGTAAAAGCTAGAGATCATCAATTCAGGTAAACTATGGCTTTTGTCATAGATATTTTAAAACATGCATCAGTAAGTGCTCTGGGTAATAATCCTATTGTTTCAAGCCCTGTTTGGTTCTATGTGCTTTGCACCTCAGAAGTGAGCCTTCCAAGGCACTTAAAATATAAGTCTTTTGGGGACTTAAAAAATCAGCCACAATTTACACAACGTAGAATCCCATCCATAAGCAGCCCAATCAATAAGCATTCTCTTTCAACCTACAACATTATAAAAAATTCACAAGTAACCAAAAGCCAAGTTAAAAAAAAAATGCCACTAAGACAAAAATTTACGCCTATCAAATATATAGAGAATGGTTGTTGGCTTTCTATAGCAATAGAATATGGTTTCATTTATTCAGAAGAAAAAAGAACACAAATAAGCCCCCCAAACCTAAGACAAAAACAACCGAGACAAAAATAAAATACAACAAAATCCAAATACACTCCACAGAACTTCATGGGAACAATTTGCACAGTTCGCATCCCTTATCTGTCCTTTGAGGTGAGTTTCTCAATCAGTTCTTGGAGTGGTGCAAGTTCTCTTCTGTCAACCAGGTTAAATTCCTATGCACGATAAAGGCAGAAGAAATAGCAAAGACTTATTATTTACATTTCACTCCGAAGCAGCTTTCCATTAACACTTATTGGAAATTAGCTTTTAAAGTAAATAAAAGTCAAATCTCTTTTTTAAAGTTTCTATTCCCTCACTGTCTTAGACAAATCACTTAACCACTTCTGATATTGTTTTACATATGTAATAATTATAAGATAAATCCTACTTCATAAAATTATTGTGGAGACAAAATGTGATACTGTAAGTTTACCACTTCAAGTAATCCTTGGCACAAAGTAAACACTCAATAACTGGGAATTGCTGCTCTTTGTTAAAAGGTATAACCCAGGCACCATTTAGATATACACTGAGTGGCCAGATTATTATGACCACCTGACGTTTGCAGGCAAATTAGCTATAATTTCGAGCTGAAGTTGCTAGAGGGCCAGACCATTATAAATAGGGAAGCAGTTTGTTTACCTCAACAGTAGAAGTGATTTTTTTCTGAAGATATGGGTAAACAACATGATTTAACAGCCTTTGAAAATGGGATATATATTATTATGAGTGGCCAGATTATTATGACCACCCCATCAGTACTTCGTTGGGCCACCTTTTGCCTTCAATACTGCGATGATTCTTCTTGGCATTGACTCCACGAGATGTTGAAAGATGATGAGAGGAATCTGACACCATGCCTGATGAATAGCACTGTCCAGCTCTGTGAGATTTGATGGTTGTGGAACCAGCTGCCTGATAGCTCTTTTAACTTTGTCCCACAAATGCTCAATTGGATTGAGATCTGGTGGTTGTGGGGGCCACCTAAGCAAGGTAAAGTGTCCCTCATGTTCTTGAAACCACTCCAGCACAATACGAGCACCGTGGCATGGCGCATTGTCTTGTTGGAAGAAGCCATCTCCATCGGGATACGCCATCAACATGATAGGATGAACTTGATCAGCAACGATACTTAGGTATGTTGTGCCATTCAGACGTTGTTCCACACGAATTAAAGGGCCCAAATCATGCCAGGAAAAGATGCCCCAAACCATAACACTGCCCCCACCAGCTTGAAAGGTTGTACTCATGCATGTGGGGTGCATGCTTTCATGCTGTTTCCGCCAAATTCTCACTCTGCCATCTGCATGATGCAACTGGAAACATGATTCATCGGACCACATGACTTTTTTCCAGTGCTCGACTGTCCAATCCTTGTGTTCCTGTGCAAATTGGAGACGTTTTATCTTGGTAACTGCAGACAGCAAAGGTGTTGGAACAGGCCTTCGGCTTCCATATCCCATACGATGCAGTGTACGGCTAATTTGCCTACAAACGTCAGGTGGTCATAATAATCTGGCCACTCACATTCAAATATATCCCACGTTCAAAGGCTGTTAAATCGCGTTGTTTACCCATATCTTGAGAAAAAAAGTCACATCTACTGTCGTGGTAAACAACCTGCTTCCCTATTTATAATGGTCTGGCCCTCTAGCAACTTCAGTGCGAAATTATAGCTAATTTGCCTGCAAACGTCAGGTGGTCATAATAATCTGGCCACTCAGTGTAGTCAACCAAGTAGGGACCAAAATATCTAGCATCTCCGGCAAGTTTCAGACTAAAATAGTTTATGTTATAAACTAACATATCCATAAGCTATCATGAGATGTGTCATTCTGAAGTAAAACTCTGAATAGATTTCCCCTGAACTATATTAAATAGAAGCTGTCTATACTTCTTTTTTTTTTTTAATATATTTTATTGATTTTTTACAGAGAGGAAGGGAGAGAGATAGAGAGTTAGAAACATCGATGAGAGAGAAACATCGATCAGCTGCCTCCTGCACACTCCCTACTGGGGGTGTGCCCGCAACCAAGGTACATGCCCTTGACCGGAATCGAACCTGGGACCCTTGAGTCTGCAGGCCGACGCTCTATCCACTGAGCCAAACCGGCTAGGGCTGTCTATACTTCTGATCTTCTGCCATGGTGGGGCATTCTGCACTCCTAATTTCATTTATTTATTAACATCCATCACGTGCCAAGCACTGCAGTATATACAGGGGGAAAGCATTAGGGGGCATTTAACTGCAAGCCTATCACTACTAGTAAGATCTGTGGGGTCTGAACCAAGAACACAGATAGATATATACATTGCATGACTAAATAAATTTTACATTAAGCTAATATATTGTTAAATAAAACATGTTCTGTTCTTCCACCTTGACAAAATATACCTTCACAGTGACCAGGAGAGCAGATTCAAATTTAGAATTCTCAAGACTCCTCAGAATTCTGCACTGGAAAGTAGAGCCAGCCCCTGACCCTCAGCAAAACTTGCTGATCTCCCAACCACCAGCTCCATCCTGCTCTTCAAAGGGCTTCACATGCATGAGTGTGGACACCCTGTCTGCTTATACAAGCAATGCCACACACCCTCATCAACAGCTGTCAACTGGCTATCCCTTAGGTCTAGAGCAGCGGTTCTCAACCTGTGGGTCACGACCATCGGAAAACACATACAGCATACCAGATATTTACATTACGATTCATAACAGTAGCAAAATTACAGTTATGAAGTAGCAACGAAAATAATTTTATGGTTGGTGGTCACCACAACATGAGGAACTGTATTAAAGGGTCGCGGCATTAGGAAGGTTGAGAACCACTGGTCTAGAGATATACGAATCAGGGATAAGACCTTTCCTCAAAAGAACAGACCCAAGGAAAAGATCTATGCAAACCTTGGAAATACACTTGGGACTATCTGGACAGGAAATTCTGAGGTAGAAGCACACACCAGAAGGAATCTGGGTAGGTATGTTGCTTGCCCTGTGGATTCCTCACTCTGTGGGGAGAAGTACAACTGGAGAAGGGCCAGAGTAGGATTTTCTAAATTGTGAAGCCAGGGGCTTACTCCTTCAAGGGCTGATACTGTATGATGGACCCACCTTTAAGCAGGTCCTAAGATGTAAACAGATTCAGATATAGTAAATGCCATGAATCTATCCCCTACTATTTGCTAAGAGTTGGGAGATATGGTATACTTTGAGATCATACAGTAAGGTAAAAACTAACTCTTCTGGTGGAGGAATATCCTTGCCTAAACCACTAAAACCTGAACTTTGGCAATCATGTCTGTCTAAACCAAAGCACAGATGCAAACTTTAGGATAACATGTTCTTTGTTTCTCTGGGTATCTGTAGATGGAATACCAGAGTGAGGTAATTGCTCAGAGGAACCATTTAGGTATGTTACTGTCTCCTAAGATGTGTTTTGGTAAAACTGAGACACAAAATGTGTGCCTTCAGTGTGAAGAGTGTGTATAGAGGGAAAACAGACATATTTTTCTTTAGTGGAGATGGATCACAGGGAAGGCATTTTAAGTATATATACCCAAAGATATACAAAAACAACACCGATCCAAGCCTTAGACTTCTCCTGCCTACCATAAACCCCTCTCAATTTCCACCAAAGAAAGGCTGGTCAGCTTATCTTTTCCATCTATTTTTCACTCCTGGCTGTTAGTTCTCCAACTGTGATAGCAGGGTGAGACTATCTTCACTCCTCTTAATCTCATTTCTAAGGCCAGTTCTCTGAGAACTAAAAAGAGAAGGAAAAGGGGGTCAACAAAGGAGTCAGATCAAAGACTAATGGACCTCTTTGGAATAGTAACACAGATTTCTCCCTTTGGACATAATGGACAGTACCTAACTTAAAAATTATTCAGAATACTTAAAAATAAAAAAGGAAAAAAGGTGTGATATTCAAAGCTCATTTCTAGGACAGAGGATGCTAAAAAAGTTCCAAAGTAGACTGGATTTGAGGGTTAAGAGGAGTAGGAGGAATGCTAAAAAGTTCAAGAGATCAAGTTCATCAATAGATCTGCCAAACTAGCCAGGTTCCTTACATGGCCCCTCCAGATTAGGCCATTAACTGAAGCAAATCCAAGGAAGAATTCTCAGAGCCATTTTATTTAGACTTGCATGACTTGCATGTGGCTGCTTAGAGATAAATGGAATTCAGAAACAAAAGGCCAGTTCTTATCATCATGGCAAGTATAGAAGAGGAAGACTAGAGAAATAGGGCAAATTTTTATCCTTACAGTATGAATGCAATATTCACCTAAGAACTCTGTAGATAACTAATTTACTAAACAAAAAAGGTCTCCTAATCCAACTTACCTGGACAAAAAAGATAAAGTGCTTGAAAGATGTATTCAGATGCGCTTCCTCCTGAAGCTGGATCACAGGGTCAAAATGCTGATGATAAATGTGAGCATAAACCCTGAAGAGGCGTTTGAGTATAGTTTTTGCCACAGACATGAAGTTCTTCGGGAATGGGACACCTAATAAATAAACAACCCCATCTATTAACAAGGGACAGGAACAAGGCAATATGAGTTTGTTAACAAATGGCAAAACAAGGCTTAAAAGAAGAAAGATTTATGAATTACTACTTAATACACCTACTGTACTTTTCAGAAGTCTTTAACATATCATGAATGAAAATAAATTTCAAAGCTTCTATGGAACAAGAACTAATTTTCAGTATAGCCCTTTAGGCCTCCAACACTTTACTAAAATGAAACAAATGAATGCCTAAGATGGTAATGGAGCTAAAACTCACACTGAGATCCTCAGATTTTGTAACATCATTTCTTTATACAAATAATATATTAATCATGTTCATTTTTGTTTAAAACGCTTGCAATATATTTTTAAAATTTTTTCTATGGGAATTATTTCATTACTACTCCAGGTCTACATTTATCCTGAAAAACAACTGCAATCTCTACTCAATTAGGTTCCTTGCTATGAATTAAAGCACTTTTGCAGCATTAAACAAATACAAAACTAGAATAATACAAAATTCCATATACTTTGGTACTCTTGCTAAATAATCTAGACTGGCAAAACACAAGCCAAACACTGGTACTACTGGGTTCAATGTCATCATTTTACCTACAACTCATCCTATATATCTTCTATATACATATAAAGAGCCAGGGGCCATCATGACCGAACAGACAACCGAACGGATGACCAAACGGATGACCAAACAGGCTGAATGGGACAACAAGGCCAGCAGCCGGGGGATGACCAAACGACTGAGCAGCAGGCTGCACGGGGGTTAGTGAGGGACGACCAAACGACTGAGCAGCAGGCTGCGTGGGGTGACCAGGCCGGCAGGGGGGGCAGTAAGGGTTGACCAGGCTGGCGGGGGGGGCAGTTAGGAGCGAGCAGGCCGGCAGAGTGGTGCTGTTGGGGGCGACCAGGACGACAGAGGGCTTAGTGAGGGGCGACCAAACAACTGAATAGCAGGCTGAGTGGGGCGACCAGGCTGGCAGGGGGGTTAGTGAGGGGCAACCAAACAACTGAACAGCAGGATGTGTGGGGCAACCAGGCCAGCAGTGTGTGTGTGGGGGGCAGATGGAGGTGACCAGGTCAGCAGGGGGGGCAGTTGGGGGCGACCAGGCCAGAAGAGGGTGGCAAAGGGGCAACCAAGCTGGCAGGGCAGTAGTTGGGGGTGACCAGGCCAGCAGGCAGAGGTGGTTAGGGGTAATCAGCAGGGGGGCCAGTAGAGGCGATCAGGCAGGCAGGCAGGTGAGCAGTTAGGAGCTGCGGTCCCGGATTGTGAGAGGGATGTCCAACTGCCGGTTTAGGCCTGATCCTCAAGAGCAGGCCTAAACCGGCAATCAGATGCTCTGACCCGTAGGTTAGCTTGCTCCTGGGGTTCAGCTGATCAGGACTGAGGGAGATGGGCTGGATACGCCCTAGAGCCCTCCCATGGTCGCTCAGAGCCCTCCCATGGTCGCTCCCCGGCTGGCCAACCTCACAAGTCCCTCCCCAGCCCAATCGTGCACCAGTGGGGTCCCTCAACCTGGCCTGTGCCTTCTTGCAATCCAGGACCCCTTGGGGAATGTTAGAGAGCTGGTTTCAGCCCAATCCTGCAGGCCACACCCCTTGGGAGGGCACAGAGGCAGGGCTCATGGCTGGCGAGCACTGCTGTTGCAGCACGAGCCTCTCCTGATGGATCGGGACTGATTGGGCATGAGCCTGTGGCAGGCACAGTGGGACCAAGATGAGCGGAAGCGGCAGGCAGGGGCTGCAGGCAGCATTGGACTGCGGGTTTCGGCCAGATCCCTGCAGGCCACCAAGAGGGACCCCACTCATGCACGAATTCGTGCACCGGGCCTCTAGTTTAAAAATAAGAGTGGCTTGGCCGGTGTGGCTCAGTGATTGAGTGTGGAACCATGAACCAAGAGGTCACTGGTTCGATTCCCAGTCAGGGCACATGCCCCTTGTGGGCTCAATGCCCGGTGGGGGGCATGCAGAAGGTAGCCTATCAGTGATGTTTCTCTGTCATCGATGTTTCTATCTCTATGCCTCTCCCTTCTCTCTCTCTCTAAAAATCAATAAAAATATATTTAATAAATAAAAATGACTGGTCATTCCCTGGCTGGGTGGCTCAGTTGGTTGGAGCGTCATCCCATAAACCAAAAAGGTTGTGGGTTCGATTCCTAGTCAGAGCACATACCTAAGCCATAGGTTCCATCCCCAGTCGGGGTGCATATGGGAAGCAACCGATCAGTTTCTCTCTGACACTGATGTTTCTCTCCCTTTCTAAAAATCAAAAAAATAACATTCTCGGGTGAGGATTAAAATATATTTATATACTAGAGGCCCAGTGCATGGATTCGTGCACTGGCCTGCACCCTCTCGCAATCCAGGACCCCTCAGGGCATGTCAGACTGCCAGGTTTTGGCAAATCCCCGCGAGAGGTTGGCTGGCCAGGGGGAAGGGACCACAGGAGGTTGGGCGGCTGGCCGCGGGAGGTGGGCTGTGGGAACGCACTAACCACCAGGGGGCAGCTCCTGCATTGAGCATCTGCCCCCTGGTGGTCAGTGCGCATCATAGCGGCCGGTCGACTGGTCGTTTGGTCATTTGGTCTCTTAGGCTTTTATATATATAGATATTATAAGTCATAAGGAAACATAGCACAAACCAAAATAAAGGGATGCTAAATAGCATGCTTACACACTTCAAAATGATCAGTTATGAAAGTCCACAAAAGACTGATGTATACATACTCTACATTAAAGAGGGCTAATGAAACATGACAACCACATGAAAAATTATTAAAAATTTTCTTTCATTGTAAAGAATATTATTGGGAAAATTTGGAAAATCTAAATAACATCTGTAAATTACACAACAATTGTATCAGTGTTAATTTCCTGACTTTGATAATTATGCTGTGATTTTCTAAGGAAATACACATTGAAGCACAAATGGATAAAGGGGCATCCTATATGAAACATTCTTAAAATTTTCAAAAAAGTCTTAAAATTCAGTCAAAAATAAACATTAAAAATGCAGGGTGGGGCAAAAGTAGGTTTACAGTTCTTCGTATGGAAAATAATACAGTAATCCTAATATATAAAAACACAGGGCCCATAACGACCGACTGGAGGTCAAACACTGGAAGTCAGTGCTAGGTTGCCAGAGGCCCGCAGAGAGAGGCAGGGTCTGATCCGCAGCCTCCGTGGCAGCTGTTGATCAGCCCTTGCCTCTCTCTTTCTCTCCAGGCTTCGCCAGCAGCCCCGCCTCTGTTTCTCTCCGGGCCTCCACAGGGGGGCTGTTGATCAGCCCCGTCTCTCTGATCAGTCCTGGAGACACTGACTGGCATAGAAACCGACCAATCAGAACCAAATCTGGGTGAACTGTGAGGAGCCAATGGCTGCATAGGGGGCAGAGCTTTTGATGTTGACTGGCATAGAAACCGACCAATCAGAACCAAACTGGCCGGCAGGGGAGGGCAGTTGGGGGCGAGATCAGGCTGGCAGGGGAGGGCAGTTGGAGGCAAGATCAGGCCGGCAGGGAAGGGCAGTTAGGGGCGATCAGGCAGGCAGGCAGAGAGGTTAGGGGCAATCAGGCATGCAGGTGAGCAGTTAGGAGCGAGCAGTCCCAGATTGCAAGAGGGATGTCCGACTGCCGGTTATCGGGCCTAAACCGGCAGTCGGATATCCCCCAAGGGGTCCCCAATTGGAGAGGGTGCAGGCTGGGCTGAGAGAACCCCCCCTCCGTGCACAAATTTTGTGCACTGGGCCACTAGTTAGTAAGTAATAATACAAGAATAAACTCTGTGTTTCACATACTCACAACTATATATCTACTTTTGTCCCACCCTATACATATAGCAGATAAAAGATAAGTTGAGGGCACTTATCCAAAACCATTATGATATATAAATAAAACGCCTTGAAAAATAGACCTTTAATTACAAATGCTACAAAGCAGTAAAATCATTCAATAAATGTGTTTAAAACAATCCATAATAACAACTATTTATATTACTGTCTCTCCTCCACCATACCAATTCTCCAAAAATTAAGAGCATAAAATATAGACAAAAAGTTATTTATTGCTACAAGAAAAAATTCTTAGTTTTTTAAGAAAACACAGTTGTAAGAAGTTTGAGAAGGTAAAATCTTGTGAACTGTCTAAATGTGAAAAATTTCCACTTGAAAGGCTGACTCTTAAGAACAAATATGAAAGGCACTGGCGGGGTGCTCAGTTGGTTAGAGCGTTGTCCCAATAAGCAAAGGTTTCAAATTCAAACTCCAAACCTGGTTACTGGACTCTTGTAATTATTATCACCCAAACTAAGCAGATCTCAGCAAACTCATACAAGGGTACATATAAGAAACAACCAATAAATGCATAAATAAGTGGAACACCAAATCAATGTTTCTCTCTCTCTTCTGCTCCCTTCTTCTCTCTCTCTCAAATCAATTTTTTTTAATATGAAAAAGCAAAAGTTAGTTACTAACCAGCCAACCCTTCAAATCATGTTTTCTTCTCACCTAGTTTGATTTCAGTCTGTAAAATTCACACCATTGGTCATAAATTAAAACTCTCTCTTTGCCACAAATATAATGTAAAACTTTATATAAGGCATACAAGCTCCTTCCCTAAACAAAAAATGGATATGACTGTTGCAGATATTGGCTGCCAACCCAATAACCAGTCTTTTTTTTTCCATAACATGGGCCAGATTTTCTTACTGTTTGAGGTACACTAATTTCTCATTGATTAAAATATAAGGTTTATCTTAATGATAATGATAAACTGGTATGAAAAGATAGGATGTTTTTAAATGTATAAGATTAGAAATATTTTGATAAATATTGTAATCTAGTATGGTTCCTGGAATAGAGAGAAAATAAATTCTAGAAACATAAAATTAGATAAATCATGATCAATTCCAATTATACAAAACAATTATACCTATTTTTGAAGGAAATAATGTCTCATCATCCAACTGGTCCTGAACCCAAGTCATCAAGTAATCAATATACTTTGGTGCAGAGCACTTAATGGGCTTCTTTATGTTTGTTCCATCTGCCCAATGATACTCATATCTGTATTAGAAAGATAAAAAGCACACAGAATATTAGTATATACCCATACACAGTTTGTATATTTTTATATGATACATGTATGTGCATTATGAATGAATACAGGACATGTTTTAAACAATATGTTCCTCCAAATAAAGATTTTTGCATTTAGCTTTCATTTATTGATTTATTTATTTATTACTGATTTTAGAGAGAGAAGGGGGAGAGAGAGAAATATCGATTTGTAGTTCCACTTATTTATGCACTCACTGGTTGATTCTTTTATGTGCCCTGACCAGGGATCGAACCCGCAACCTTGGCATATAGGGACAACACCTAACCAGGGCCACATTTGGCATTTCAATTTAATGATTTCAAATGGTTACTGTACTCTTTTGCATTTATTATGACACAAACTAAGCAGATTTCAGTAAACTCATTTTTTTTTGTTTCAATGCTTTCCTCTAATGTTTTAATTTGATTATACAACTTTCTTTCATATATAGAATTTAAATTTTAGAATCATACATTGTCATAGTAGAAAACCTAGCTTACTTCCTTCCCACTTCTATGATGATCATCCTTAACGTTTTTATGGCTATTTTCTTACTTCAAAAATATTTCTCCTTATACAGTACAATTCTTTACAACTTGGGGTTTTTAACTTAGGGTTAAGGATAGAAGAAGGAAAAGAGGGAGGGAGGAAGGAAGGGAGGAAGGGAGGAAGGGAGGGAGGGAAGAAGGGAAGGAGGGAGATCATTTTTCATGTATCTTTATAGAAGATCCTTTGGCTTTGCTCTTTTTTCATTTTGTCTCTTTAATATATGATTTCAGAGAGGAAGGGAGAGAGCCATAGAAATATCAATGATGAGAATCATTGGTCAGCTGCCTCCTCCTGCACGCCCCCTACTGGGGATTGAGCGGCAACCCGGGCATGTGCCCTTGACCAGAATTGAATCCAGGATCTTTTAGTCCACAAGCCAACGCTCTATCCACTGAGCGAAACCAGCTAGGGCACCTCTTACTTTTAAATAATTAGGTAAATTGTTCCTATACCAGCTATGTAGATAAGATTTCTGTGGGAAAATGATCAGAGCTGTAATCTAAGTGGCAGTAATTCTCCCTAATTCACAGGAATGGGATATTGGTGTAATATCAGAAGACCTCCCAATAAAATGCTAGTCAATTACAAAGGGGAAGAAAATGACTAATTTGAGGTGAAAAAACCTTGCAGACACTAACATGATAAGGTAATTAGGATAATTAGGCCTTTTAAGAGATTACAGTCAGGCCTGCTATATTCACTCTTTTATGCACAAAGACTAGTACAGGGAAAGACTGAGGAACTATTCCAGACTGAAGGCACCTAAAGAGATACGTCAAATAAATGCAATACATATTCATAGATAGGATCCTGGAGCAGAAATGAAAAACTGAGATATATTGAGATAGCTGGTGAAATGTGAATGGTGTCTATGAACTGGAAGAAGTGGTTTAGAGAATTTATATGCTGGTTGTATAGAAGAGTATTCCTGCTTTTAGAAAATACACAGTTGAATATATAGGCATAAAGGGATTAGCGTAATGTCTATAATTTAGTCAAAAGATTCAGAAAAAAATTAATGTTAATGACTATACACATAGAGAGGAGTGATGAAGCATGCAAGTTAATAATTGAGGAATCTGGATAAAAGAGATATGGGAGTTCTTTGTGATGTTCTAGAAACTTTTCTATACATTTGAAATTATTTGAAGTTTCAAAGTCTGAAATAGTTTGAAAATAAGTTATTTTTCAAAAAAATTACCACAGGAAATAGTCAAAGCATATTATTTTGAACATGTTTGACCATGACAAAATTGTCAATTTTTTTTAAAGGACTAGCTTCTGAGAAACATCTAAACTCATTTAGAGTCAATTTGAGGAAGAAAGCAGACCACTCTAGGTAATACTTTGTTCAATGTATGAATTTGGTCAATAAATAAATTATTACTATGCAGCAATAAAATTGAATCTCTTGGGTAGCTAGTGATCTGACACTGTAATTTAAAAGTTAGCAAAAATATTCTGAGCAATGAAAACATTAGCACAAGTGATTAGCAATCTAAGGTTACTACTACTACTAATATTTCTATACACTAGTAAGTTTGGACAGCTTGTTTTGTTTTGATATTTATGCTTTGTTTATAATTGGGGGGAGAGAACATATTTTATAAAAAGTCAGCACTAAAAATAAAACCTCTCTATATATAGTTTATAAATATCAATTCATATTCTTATTAGAAAACTAGGGGCCCAGTGCACGAATTCGTGCATGGGTGGGGTCCCTCTGCTTGGCTGGTGATCAGGGCCGATAGGGGCGTCTCGCCCAGTCCCGATTGGGGCCGATCGGGACCAGCCAGCCAGTGGGAGGGATCACAGGAGGCTGGCCGGCCGCAGGAGGTTGGATGTGGGAGCGCACTGACCACCAGGGTGCAGCTCCTGCATTGAGCGTCTGCCCCCTGGTGGTCAGTGTGTGTCATAGCGACTGGTCGACCAGTCGTTCTGGTCGTTCAGTTGTAACGGTTGCTTAGGCTTTTATATATATATAGATAACACAATGTAGCAATTAAGAGTACAGTCACACTAGAGTCAAAGAGTCTTGGATGACAGAGACCTGGTTCTGTTTTTGGATAACAGGACCCTTGCACATGTTACTTAACTTTTCTCAGACTCAATTTATTTTCCTGTAAAATGAGGATAACAATAGTTTTCTTACTTTACTGGTTTGCTGTATAAAGGCCTTACATTTAGGTAGTACTGAATAAATGGTAGCTGGCATTGTTATTGTCAGCTATAGCCATAATAAAATCCAGTTTCAAAAATTTATTTATCAAAGCAACATTTATTGAGTGGTAACTAGATGGCAGGCACTGACTATTCTTGATCAAAAGAGATTTAAAAGAAGAACCAATCTGACAGGTTAAATAAGACATGTATAAATAATCTATACATATAAAAGACTAAGTGAATGACCGTACATCTGTCTGACCGCTGACCAACCGACCAACAGGTACATATGACACGCACTGGCAATTTAAAAATAAACGTTGACTCGCACATACGGGATACATATAAAGCTCCCATCGAATTTTAATAGTATTACTCCTTCGGGAATGCCATGTCATAAATTAAAATTGAAAGTAGGTGCAATCATCATGCTACTGAGAAATCTTAATAGTAAATGGGGTCTTTGTAATGGTACCAGATTTATTATCAAAAGATTGCAACCTAACATAATCAAAGCTGAAGTATTAACAGGATTTGTGGAAGGAGCAGATTGTTATGATTCCAAGAATTGATTTTTCCCCATCTGGCCTCCCATTTATATTAATTCGAAGATAGTTTCCCATGATGCCAGCATTTGCAATGACTATTAATAAATCACAAGGACAAACTGTAGACAGAGTAGGAATATTCCTACCTGAACCCGTTTTCAGACATAGTCAGTTACATGTTGCTTTCTCTTGAGTTCGAAGAGCGTGTGACGTTAAAGTTGTAAATACTTCATCACAAGGAAAATTAGTCAAGCACTCTGAAAGTGTTTTTACTCTTAATGTGATATACAGGGAAATATTAGAAGATGTTTAATCAATTTATCAGTCCTTGTTTTTATCAATGTTTTTATTGTTTTTATATCACGTTGTTTTTATATCATGCCTTTGTTGTTATAGCATGTTGTTATTATTTATTAATCAATTTATATATTATTTTCATATCGATTTTACTAATTTTCTTCCAACTGACACTTCTGTTATAGAGAAAGGCGAATAGTGATATTAAAATATTTCTTCTAATTAATTTCCTTTTAATGTGCATGAATCCATGCACTGGGCCACTATATAATCATAATGTAACAAAGAAATAAAATTGTAATGACAAAAAAGTTAAATAGAAATATCACATTTAGTATGAAGAAATCAGAAGGTTTCATGGAGAAGGAAGTACCTGATGTGGGCCTTGAAGATGGGTAAGATTTTTGGAAATGTGAGCAGAAGATAAGAGGGACATGAGAAGCAAAATATCTAAGAGAAGAACGGAATGAACAAGTTTTCAGAGTATAACTAATAGAGAGAATAGCAAGCAAGGCATTTTCTGTAATCTTGTCTGGATAGACCAGAGGAGATGTGTAAGTTAACAGAAGAAAGGCAGAATGGAGGACAATACAGGAAGGGTCATAAAGTTCTGGCTAAGGAATCTGAACTTACTATATTACTCACTGGTAAGCCAGCGAAGGGGATGCTAAGTACAGAAATTAACTATCTTCTTATCTATGAACTATAAAATAAAGTAAAAATGAGAACTGATCATGAACCACATCTTACTTTGGGCCAGCTGACATCACTGGACAACTTTCCTCTGTACAGAAATCTGTGATTGTTCCATAAAGCATGTTGATCTGATTGAAAAAATCCACAGCTGCAAAGCAAATATCAGTTATAAGTAAAATATTTAATTTTACTAAGCAGAACCTAGATTTATCAGTGTTCTTTCTAAACATATACAGATTTCCTAGCTTTTGTTAGTGATTTTTAGCTAAATTCCACTATGGTCAAAAACTGTGTTATATCATTTCAATCATTTCAGTTTTTTAAATGCACCTATGTGTAATCTGAGGTGCTTAGGCCACATGTCCCTCACGTCAAGTCTATTAAAAATGGCTTACATTTTTCTAATTCCCTCTTGACTTTTTTTTCCTCCTCATTCTGTCCATTAATAAAAGAGTGTTTAAATCTCCCATTATGACTGTGGATTTGTCTATTTCTTCTGTTCAGTCAGCAGTTTTATTTTATAGACATAATTAGAGACATAAATTCAGAACACCATATATTCTTTGTGAAGTGAACCATTTATCATTTTAAACTCTTCCTCTTTATTGTTTTGGGTTTTATTTCTGCCTTAAAGTCTACTTTGTCTGATATTAATATGACTGTATCAGCTTTCTTTACATTAGTGTTTAACTTTTTAGTTTCAACCTACTTTTGCCGCACCCACTATTCAAGGATAAATATTACATATGGTGACTTTGAACTAACCCCTGTTCCCTCTTTATTTAGAATCCTAAAATCCCCTTTTTCATCCCATTAATTACCCATGACCAGCACTTTGCTTTTTTAATTTCAGACTTTCTATAGCAAAGAAAAAAACTGACTTCAAAAGGAGTCATAATTGCTTATGAAAGTAGAACATTAATGAGCATTACACGAAATTTAATTTTACAAGTTTTTCTCTTCCCTCTTACCTCATAAAGAGCCAACATTTACTAAGTAATGACTCTGCAACTTAATAATTCTTAAGTTGTCCTCCACAAGAACAGAGGGCAACTTTTAGCTTTGAAATAAGATAAGTCTGAATCCCAACTCCAGTTGAGTTACTTAATCTCCCTGAACCTCAGTTCCCTACCTTTAAAATTGGGTTTATTATGGAGCATCCTATATAATAAAGCAGTAATATGCAAATTGACCATCACACCCTCACACAAGATAGCCACCCACATGTGGCCACAAGATGGCTGCCCCCATGTGGCCACAAGATGGCCGGCAGGGAGGGCAGTTGTGGGCGATCAGGCCAGCAGGGAGGGCAGTTAGGGGCAACCAGGCCAGCAAGGGAGGGCATTTGGGGGAGGACCAGGCCTGCAGGGCAGGGGAGTTGGGAGCGACCAGGCCTGCAGGGAGGCCAGTAGGGGGCAATCAGGCCTGTAGGGGAGGGCAGTTGTGGGGAACCAGGCCTGCAGGGGAGGGCGGTTGGGGGGGAATAGGCCTGCAGGGGAGGGCAGTTGGGGGCCATCGGGCCGGCAGGGGAGCAGTTAGATGTTGATCAGGCTGGCAGGGGAGTGGTTAGGGGGTGATCAGGCTGGCAGGGAGAAACTGTTAGGGGCAATCAGGCAGGCAGTCAGGCGAGCGGTTGGGAGCCAGCAGTCCTGGATTGTGAGAGGGATGTCCCAGATAGGAGAGGGTGCAGGCTGGGCTGAGGGACACCTCATCCCCCCCTGCCACCACCACCACCACCAGTGCATGAATCTCATGCACCAGGACTCTAGTTAAAAATATATATGGCCAACATTAAGTGGGCATTAATAAATATTCATTTCCTTCCACAAATTAATATATGACCTCAGAATTCGGTGCCACATAAATTATTTATAAGCCATCCATCCAGCTTTTTCCAGAACCCTGAACCTTCTGTCTTCTTTAAGCTACCACTCTTTCTAGCAGCAGAATGTTCAAAAGCAGGCTTTGGTTTCTGGCTGTGAGACCAGTTGTTGAATTTGTAAAGATTTCCCATCTTCGACCATTTATCTTCACCTGGCAGGTGAACTGAAGCCAAAAAGCCATTAATATACCAATCTTATCAATAAATTCCCTTCACTCCCTTATGTACCCAAAATGTTTATTTAACCACTGTCAGTGAGTGGAAATATCTAGTCTCAAATCCTCTTTTCTTCATCCAGAGTCATTTGGGAAGATTACTATAATTAAGGAAAATTTTAAAACCCAATACTTCAGTCAAATGCTGTATTTTCAAGGCAGAATTTCTGTTCTAAGGGGACACTCTGAAGCTCCAGTTCAAAGTAATTTTTGTCTAGCTATAATTGCAAAATGCCTGTGAAATTTTAAAAGTTCCTGAAGTTCTAGACATTTCAGTAGTACAGTCACTCTGTTCTGGCAATTGAGATAGAGAATACAGACAGAAATTGATGATCTGTTTTTATACTTACAAGTAAGAATCTCATGTAGTACAGAAGCTCTATGCTGCCTTCCTTAGATTTTTAAAATAAGCGAGTTATCAAGTAAATGATACTCAAGTAAATGATACAAAAAAGGCACAAACAAGTACAAAAAAAGAATGCACATAATCAATTGGAAATTTATTCTGTATATTATTTTGAAGTGTCACAGAACCATCTTATAGGTAAGATGACCAGTAAAGCAAAAATCACTTTACTTCTTTAGTAACTAAACCCTCTGGGTCCAGGAAGATAACCACATTATAATAAACACTACTTGTATGCAAATGCTGTCAGAGTAACATTTTTAGACACCTCAGTAATAAAATCCTTTAGATTCCTAAAAGTTATTGGTGGGTAGCTGCTCAATTTATAAATCCAATGATATATTTCAAATTATAATAACATCACATATTACAAGAAAAATATTTTGTTTTTTCTTAAAGCCTTGACATATAGTGTATATTTTCAATTAAATTTTATTTTATTTGCTAGATTCACATAAATTACTCCAATTATTAAATTCTGATAGTTTCTTCACTAATGCTGAAAAACCCTGAATATTAAAAGTACCACTTTTATTCCCCAACTTTCGCTGGCTTAATTTCCAAGAATACATTACTTTTTACTTACATGTTTTTCTTCCTTGGTGCTAAGACTCTCATAAATATATTTTATTAATTTCACAAATCACTAGTGACTTGTTTTTAAAAAAATAGCATTAACTTAGATAACTGAATATGCTACTGAAAGAGGCAATTTAGCAGAGTGCTTAAAGTGCAGACTCTAAAATTCTATAGCTGTATATTAGAGCTCAGGGTCTGCCACTTAATAGCTGCATGACCTAGGCAGATTACTAATCTTTCTGTCTCAGCTTCCTTATGTCTTAAATTGGAATAATCATAGTACCTACATCATGAGGTTCCAAATATGAATAAAATAATCCATGTAGACAGGATAGCAGAGTGCCAGACACATAATTAGTGTTTCATAAATATTAATTGCTGTGATTATTTTTTTCCACTAAAGATGGTAAATCTATGCTTTGTATGTCATTATAACAGAAACAAGAATTTTAGAAAACTCTATATTGAGAATAAAATACTGGTAACATAAAGGATAAAGTGGATTGAGCTATCACTATACTGTGATATTAGGTTGCTAACTAGGTTCCAGAATAGACAGCACTCCAACACTCACCTATAATGAGGCTACTAATCTAATTTAGAGTCTTCTGCGAAACAGAAAGGCTACTTACTGTTCACTGCAACCCACTCATTGAGATCTTCTCCCTCAGGAAGCATGACAGCCATCCGGAGATTGCCACTGCCAAGTGTGGCTTCTGCATGCTTTAAGAGCTCATACTGGTGAGAACCCTCTGGTATGTTCTTCTTTGGTTTAAATGTTTTAGAGGAGCGGCTACCACTACAAATACACAAGAAAATAAAGGCACTTCAATATTTAAGGCATGACTTTCAACAGAGTCAACTACACTATATTACTGGATAAAATAACACAGAGGTAATCCTAAATGTCCACAAATAAAGAGCCCTAAGTTGTATTGGCTACATTAAATCCTGGCAATATAGTTGCTGTAACCAATGTGTTTGAGACCCAAAACTCCTACAAACCTTCTCTATATTCCCTACTGCAACTTCCTAGGAGAAAAAGAATTTTTAGTTGTAACTATCCAACTCTTCACAATAAACTAATGATTCAAGATTACAGGTTGCAGCCCAGCTAACATGGCACAGTGGTTGAGCGTAACCTCTGAATCCAGAGATCAGGGTTCTTTTTTTCTTTAAAAAAAATTTTTTTTTTTCCCCCAGAAAAGAAGGGAGAGGGAGAGAGAGACAAAAATATCAATGATGAGAGAGAATCACTGATCAGCTGCTTCCTGCATGCCCTGTACTGGGGATCAAACCCACAACCCGGGCATGTGCCCTTGACCAGAATCAAACCCGGGACCCTTCAGTCCACAGGCCAACACTCTATCCACTGAGCCAAACCAGCCAGGGCAAGATACAATTTTACATGAATAAAACACAAAAATCCTAGAGCAAGAAAGAAAAGCTACATGTTCTTCTACCCAATTATATATAGGTGGCGTCAGCAATCTTAATCCATAATTCTAGGTATGTAGACAAGAAGCTAGACATTAATATAATTGGTTTGCTCAAATTTCATATGTATTTTTAAATGGATCAAATGAAATTAGTCTTAGAAATGATTTTAAGAATTTTTAAGAGATGGATTCTTTGGTTAATGCTGGCAAGTTCTTATCAAATTGTATTATATCCAATCATCATCCTTTCTCAATACTCCCCTTCTCTCTTCATATGAAAAGGAACAGAAGGACATCAGCTGGACCTGCACTCAGGAGGGTCAGAGCCTCATCTGTCCCCAATACCATCTACTTATTGAACCACTCTGCTCTGAAGTTTTAGGCTTCCAAATGTTTTCTTGATTGCTGTCCCACCCAAAATTGGTTTCCACAAAGCTAAGTAAATCTACCTCATAAGAGCTTATGCTTGGGTAGAAAGAAAAAAATAAATCTGAGTTCGATTTTGTGAAGGTCAGCTTTGACACTTATCAGCTATGTTATCTCAGGCAAATTACCCAACTTTCCTTGGGCGTATTTTTTCTTTAACAGTGAAAGACTAATAAAAATAACAAAACATCACCACAACCTGTATCATGGAACAACTGTAAAATAAGAAAATAATATGTGAAAAAAGCTTTTAAAACTGTAAAAGGCTTTGCAAATGTTAATATTTTCATTATCCTTCCTTTTCCTGAACCAGAATGACTCATAATAAAAAGAAATGGTAGTGTAATGTGCAAAAGCTTTCTTTCAATGTCTATTCCCATCTTCATCTCCTAAGACTGGATGCAGAAAAACAACACCTTACTTTGGAAACAAATGCTTTTACACATCAAGTTCAAAACAGATTTTTTTTTTTTAAGTTTGCTTGTTTTTTGTTGCTATATCTGTATCAAGGTTCAATGATCTCAGAATAATTGTGGGGCTAGATTAGAAATCAAGAAAACAATCTATTCCTCATTTTGCTATTTTCTTCTTATGTTACATAGGCTTCAATTTCTTTGTTTTTGAAAGTCTGGAAAATAACTTTTTACAAAAGGGTATAGTTTAGAGATGAGATCATGTTATAAAATGGTTTTAGTTCCCTGGGGACTTTCATCTCCCTTCTCTGTTTCCCATTTCCATGCACATTCATAATTCCAAAATGCTTTCAAGTTCCCATTTAATTTTCCTTTTCTGGATCTTCTGCTTTTTTGAGGCAGAATAAACCATTTTAATACTAACCATTTTAATACTCTATATTTTTTAATATTCTTTTTTAAAACGATATTCGGCTTTTTCTTCAACTGTTACCTGAAACTTCTACCAGTATCCACTCTACCCTAAAAGTACAATACTGCTCCTTTCCTTATTCCTAGGTCCAAACGCCAACTGACAGACCCCTCAAATTCAAAAGCACAAATACCAAAGCATGTACACAAAAGACCTCACCAAAGAATATAAGCTATTACAGCAACAATGTATGGCCAAATGCTTATATATCACATTGTATTTTAAGATATTTGATACAAATATTAAAAAACATTTTTTGTAACAGAAAGTATGTTGGCCTTCCACTCACCCATCTAAGAAGAAATCGGTGTATCAGAAGAATCTCAGAAGAAATATTGTGTATCCTTCCACAATATTTCTATACAAGCATAAGAATGCTTGTGCCCGTTTCTGTTTTTACACAATTATTGTATACTAAAAATATTAAATCTTGTTTTTCACTTAATATATCCAGGAGATTGTTTACATTAAGGTAGAAGTAGATATACTTCATTCTTTGTAAGGATTTTAGTATAGATATATATTTTAATCAGTCACTTATTGATAAACATTTAGGTTGTTTCTAGTCATTTGTTACTATAAATGATGCTATAGTAAATATCCTTGTGTATTAGCATACTTAAAGGATAAATTCATAGAAGTAAAAAACTGTTATGTAAAAGGGAATGTACATTTTTTTAAAATATATTTTTATTGATTTCAGAGATGAAGGGAGAGGGGGAGGGAGATAGAAACATCAATGATGAGAATCATCATGCCCCCCCCACTGGGGATTGAGCCCACAACTCAAGGTCACAGTTTGATTCCCAGTCACAGAATGTACATTTTTAAATTTTATATAAGGCCCATTTCCCCCCCAAATAAATTGTACCCTTGTACAATCCCATTAATGATGTATGATGAGAGTAGTTATATACTTTTTTTGGTCTTCGAGAACAGCAATTCAATGCTAATTTCTCTTGGACAGCTCCCAAAACAGTGTTATAACTACATGAGAATTTAGAGCTTTTTGATTGGAATGTGAATGATATATTACATATAAGGGATGTTGTATTGATAATTCATAACATTAACCTGAAGTATTTTCTTTCCAAATAAACATCCAGAATTCAGATTTCTTTTCCCCAGTACTCTTATTCATAGTTTAAGGCCAATCAATTTCTACAGCAAGACAGGGTGGTTTGACAAGTAAATAACTGAGCCCAAAGGGAAAACTCTGAGCACATATCCCTTATAATTAGCCAGTTTTATCTAACTTTTATAAATTTCAACAGCATCATTTATTTTCTCTTTGAGATACTAACGAATAGATTAGGCCCCATAGTGACACCTAGATTAACGCCCATAAACTGGTTCTAACCATCTCAACACTCACATCCATCATTACCCTTACTTTTAACCCTTTATTTTTAACTAGAGGTCCAATGCACGAAATTCGTGCAAGAATAGGCGTTCCTTCCCCCGGTTGCCAGCACCAGCTTCCCTCTGGCACCCGGGACTCGGGCTTTCCTCCGGCCGCCAGCAGGCACCCAGGACCCAGGCTTCCCTCACAGCCCGTTTCGTCGGGAAGGTTGTCCGGAAGGACGTCTGACCTAATTAGCATATTACACTTTTATATATATAGATAACTATTAATGAAGTTGGTATTTTCTAAGTTGGAGCAGTGGTTCTCAACCTTCCTAATGCCGCGACCCTTTAATACAGTTCCTCATATTGTAGTGATCCCCAACCATAAAATTATTTTCGTTGCTACTTCATAACTGTAATTATGCTACTGCTATGAATCGTAATGTAAATATCTGATATGCAGGATGTATTTTCATTGTTCGAAACCCACAGGTTGAGAACCGCTTTTTGATTGGAATGTGAATGATATATTACATATAAGGGATGTAGTCACTAGAGAATCTTAAGGCTGAAGGAATTGGGGGTGGAGGAGATGTATAGAGAACTAAAAAAGGGCATTAGTAAGAGTTAGAATAGATATCTGTATATTTTGATACTAAAGAACACGTCAATATATTAAAAATTACAAGCAAATTAACATCAATTTATTTGAGTCTCTATTCCTTCAAGATTAAGGGAATTACTCTGACCACACAGCTAGTTAAATGGCAGAAATGGGATTCAAGAACAGTCTATTATCTTGAACAAGTTACTTAACATTACCAAGCCTCAGCTTCCTCATCAATAAAATGGGAATAATAGCTACCTTACTATTGAACCCTGTGGTAAGAACTCAGTATTAGTTATCTTTGCTCCACCTCTAGGTAGCAACCTGTCATTTACATCAGTATCTCCTTCCATGGGTCTAAACTCTAAAGTCTAACATTAGCGATCAGGTACTTGATAAATATTTATTAATTGACAGTTACAATCAACTTCAGGCTGAAAACTCCTTATCAGGATAGTAATGATGATAATTAATATTAACTAATATTTACTGCAGGCTTTGTGCTCAGAAGTATTTTACAAGCACTATCTTATTTAATACTCATAACTTTATGATGTACATACTATTACTTCATGAGTAATAAAAATGAGGCTCTAAGTACTTTAATAATTTGCTCAAGACTAGAAAAGTGGTAAATTGAGGAGCCAGAATTTAAATCTAGGATTTAAATCTTTAAAGCCCACTCTTTTATCCACTCCCCAACACTATATGGTGTTTACCTTTATTTTCTATCCAATTAATAATTTTCTTTTTATATCACCAGTTTAATCAAGTCATTTATGAAGCAACACAAGTCTAATTTATGCTGAAAGAGTTATTAGCTGGCACATTTTTTAAAAATATATTTTTATTGATTTCAGAGAGGAAAGGAGAGGGATAGAAAGAAACATCAATGATGAGACAGAGTGTCTCAATGATCGGCTCCCTACTGGGGATTAAGCCCGCAACCCAGGCATGAGCCCTGACTGGGAATCGAACCGTGACCTCCTGGTTCACTGAGCCACACCGGCTGGACAGTGGGCACATTTTTAAAACAATCTTCAAACTACCTAATTCCATTTCCTCTCCTCTCACCTTTTCTAATTTAGATGAATA